TGTTATATATATAAGATATGTTGTAAAGTGAATAATTAAGTTAAGTTTGGATTGTGTAAATTTGGATAACATACAGATTTTTATTCAAAAGTTTAAATTAATACAGAAAGGATTATTGAAAAGAACAATAATTCAAAAAATTATCTGCCCACAACTGAGATTACACAGTGACCACCCACCACGACACACTCGGACCACACTGAAGGTCACAGATACCTTATTTATTGATTTAATGGAATTTTTTATATGTTTTAAGGAAAATGGACTGTCAGATAACTGGGTCTTATATGTGTGGATTAGTTTTTATAAAATAACAAAATTTATTTTAATAAATAAAGTTGTAAATTATGGTTTTTGGATTGGGGATATAAAAATTATTATGCAAAAGTACAATTTTATGACTGTTGATCTGTGTTATTGTTGGATTTTTTTTCCTGGATTCACCCAAAGAAATGGGAACAAATGTGTTTGTGATAAAGCCTGCTAGTAACAAAATGAAGTAAAGATATATAATTTAAAAAGTTGTTCTTTGCTAAGTTGTCTGTTGCACATAGACACAACACTGGTTTGCCCTTAAACCTAGATGCCTTTTTAAGCTTGAATGATTCATAGGTCTGTGTTAAATAGTTTGACATAAAAAAACAAACAAACACTTTTCTGGTGAGAAACAAGGACTGGATTGAAAATGAGTGAAAAAGTACCACTTTAAAATATGGCTTTTAAAAGTCTGGTTCCTTTGAGACAAAATATAAGGAATTGATGAGTTGCTCAAGACTTTTGCGCAGTACTGTGTATAACATAAAAAGGAGTCTGGAACAAACAGCAGAGTCAGTTAAACCATAATGACATAACAGCCCATTACATTACAGATGACAAAGATTAAGCTAACTAGTCAGACAAAACTGACTAAAAGGAAAGGAAGTGAGCACCGATGATGGCAATCTAACTGCTTTTAAACCAGACTGCGTGCAAAGAAATGATAATCCAAGCAATAATTCATTCTTAAAGAATAACTCACAGACTGGATCAAGGAGAAAAAAAATACAAAACTCACATGTATTTATAATTTGTTGCTTGTCAGATGCAGCACAATGTTACTGATAAGGGACCAGGCTACACCTGGATGGTCTTTTTAAGCACTGGATAACCAAAACAACAAACACTGATGATCAGCATAGCATTTGTTACATTGCTTCAAGGCTGGTGTTTCAGTGAGGTCTGCCAACTTTGCATCCTGGTTTTGACCCTGTCAGCTATGTTTAGAGGAAGTAGTCTTGGCGTGGTTCTGCCTTTAGGCTGATGAGACTTTTTCCTGCCTCCTGGTTTTCATATAAACTTGGTTAATTGTTTTTAGTGCCCTGACAGATGTTCCAAATAACCTTAGTCTTTAAGTCAATAACAATCAGCCTACCTCATGCACAATGTGTAATAGCACAGTGCCATCTTGTGTTAACTCATAAGGAAGGCACCCATTCAGTACTCACCAGCCCAGCACTTCTCAGGAAAGTTCCCCTATAATCGGCTGGGAACTTAAAAGCAAGTATGAATTACTGTATGAACTGTGAACTATATTAATTTCTGGTGAATGTGGCCTTCTTAGTCTCAGGATCCCCCTCATTAACACACTAAAAATAAGGACATATGTTGGGAAAAAAAACCCAACCTTCAGAAAATTTCACAAGCGCAGACCGTGGTGCATTAAAGGCAGTTTCATTTTGTTCACAAGCATTAAAGCACAACAAAGTGCAACCTCTCACAGACATTTTTAAGCATGTAAGATATCATTATCCGTGTATCTTTTGTATCTTAGAAAAAAACAAGGGTTAAAAATGACATTATTCACAGTGATTTGGCTCATAGCAGACCCCCCTCTGGACTTTTTTCAAACACACTGGCCAGAAGCACAGGATCACAGCCGTCGTAAAGAGACAACACAAGAGGTGCGCACTTGGGTAAATATCGTCCAGTCCTCTGAAAGCATTTAGTACAACATCTAATTGTTCTTTCAACTGGCTTTTCAAAAACTCTATAAAGGCACAAAGAAAAAACTTCAACAAAAAAAAAAAGAAAGTAAGAAAGAAAATTGGGACTTTTTTGTGTTTAACTGATTGCACATTTGTTCCCAGTAGGTGTGATTGTAACTTGTAAAAACAGCCATAATAGCTCTTCAGTTTATAAATGAATTGCTGGATTCATTTTAAGTAGCCTCATGACATCTTGTGGAAATAAAATGGTATTAAATGGGAGACAAAAGCAGTCCAAGTAATGCTTGACATGAATGAGAAACGTTTACTGGAACTTTCCCACAACACTGATTACTCCCATCACCACTCTGTTATTCTCTAAATGAAAAGACTGGTCAACTATTTTTCAGGTCAGGTAAGTCACAAAAAAGTACACTGGTTGTTTTCTTGCTTGTTTTTCTGATAATTGCCTGAATCCCCTCGATGCATATATTGTTGAATGTTCTTGAGCCCTTATTCCCACAGTGATGTATCTCCTTCAGTTCTTCAGCTCCATCTTTCTCTTGCTGCCAACATCCAACGTCGGTCCCTTTTCTTGTCCTGTCTGCATTTGTATCAGCAACACGATTTTTTTTCTGGTGTGTGTGTGTTGGCACTTATGGTGCCATTGATTGGCCGAGAGTTGGCTCGCAGCAGAACTCGAGGCGTGTCCTTGCTCTCGGAGTCTTCAGGCTGCACGTTAAGGCCGTTACGAGACAGCAGCTCTCTGGCCATCAGCATGAAGGCTTCGTCCACATGCTGACTATCCTAGAAAAATATAAAAAAAGCTCTATATAACAAGTATCATCAGCATTAAATGGTCCCATCTATTTATTATATGCGTGTATTACCTTTGCAGATGTTTCTAGTGCAGCCAAAATGCCTTTTTGTTTTGCCAGATTGCAGGCTTCTTGAAACTGAACCTCCCGTTCCTGCTCCAGGTCACATTTATTACCTAAATGGAGAGAATAAAGAAGCTAAGTGATGTACACACAGTGACACAGGTTCTGTTAATATTACCTTGCACCTAATTTACATAATAAAGTCAAACTCTACTCGTGTCCATACATTACTGTGAGCAGTAACACATGTTAATTTTAAAATGTAGTAAGCAGCAGCAAGACCCCCAAGACACAAATCAAGCTTAATTGACTAAAGATAGGGCATTAAGTTAGAAAGAACAAAAACAGAGGTGGCTGGGTTGCAAAGTGGCTTGCAGATCGCAGGAACAGACTAAAGTTGTTGTTGAAAATGATACAATTGTATATTTTGCATAAGCAGGCCATGCTAACTACAATATTTTTTTATTTAGTTGAGCTTGGTATCATTTTCACTTAAAAACAAAAGTGCATTTCTTCAGTCAAAGCATCCTACTCACCAAGCTGCATTCACTTATTTACACAACGACTGATGCATCCCACCAGTTTTTTGGGGGATTTGGGAAAGACATTCATGATTCAACCACTGAACATCTGTGTGAACAAGCCTTTCGAACTCCTTAGCCACATCACAGGAGAACGTTTTCACAGTAATCTGTGTAAAAACTGCCAGGAGAAGAGGCTTTTTCTCATTTAAAGGCTATTGTAATCAAATTCCCAGTATTCTTTAGGGCTAACAGCATACCAAGAAATCTTCATTTCCTTAATGCTTTCAGTCGTTATCAGTCCTATCAGCACTCACCTATGAGGACGAGAACCACATTGGCTGCTCCATATAGCTCCACCTCTTCTATCCAGTGCTTCACTGAGTCAAAAGTTGAACGCCGTGTGATGTCATAGGCAATCACCGCGCCGTGAGCGCTGCGGTAGTAGCTCTGGGTGATCGTACGAAATCTTTCCTGACCTGCTGTGTCCCATACTTGCATCTGCAACAATAAATCATATTTAAGAAATTACAGGAGGATGGTATCATAGTAAAGTAAAGAGTATTATTACTATATCGAGACAATCATTTCTGGATTAAGGTTTTTGTTCTCAGTGCTCTGTATCAGTGAAGTACTTACTCCAAATAACGATATCAGGATTTTGGAACATGAAAATTTCCACCTAGTGCAAGGCAGCTCAGTGGATACAGATGTTAATCTTTCAAAATGTGATATGGAGTGCCCCGCAACACGAGTGCTATCTGGACCACCCACCTACACACATAAATGCTCACACAGTTGAGCACTCATTAGTCTTCCCCTGAAGAACAGTCCCCGAGGACCAGACAGACCTTGTTAGTGTGGTAACAACTGTCATAGTAACAAACGAGACTCACCAACCCCACCCCATTTGTTTTAATGCTATGTGATGGTTACACCTAATGCAGATTATAGACATATGCTCAGATCTTTTTTGAGCATAGACTTCTACATGCATATGATGCTGATCAATATAAATCTGCAATGCCTTTAAAACAGGCTAATGACTCTTTTATGTAGATGTGAACGGCCTCGTTTTGTGACTAAGTAACTCTTTGTAGGGGCTTTCAAATACATGCTTTTCTGCCTTAATGAACATCATACGAAAAGTCTACCATTTCAATAACAGAAGAACCCAACAAAATAATTTATAAGAAATTAATTTTAAGTTCCTATTGGTCCATACGACTGTGATATAACTTCTGATCTCCAAGATATCCAGATATTTTTAATACCAATAGTCTGAATTATGAGGTCTCAGGCTTGCAAAATTAGATGGTGTTGTAAGACTACTTATGAATTACATCACCAGTGTGTGAATGTGTGTGTGAATGGGTGGATGACTGGATATGTAAAGCGCTTTGGGGTCCTTAGGGACTAGTAAAGCGCTATATAAATACAGGCCATTTACCATTTTACCATGAATTGATTGAATCTTTAAGATGATCCTACACTGTGATTTGCCGATGCTTAAAAACAGACAGGCTAAAGTGAAAAATAGAAAGTTTTCAGAAGATTCAATGCAGCTGAAATGATACCAGTTAACACAGAATCTTTAAACATCCACAGTTAAAACTCGCCATTTGAAGTTGGACTACTTCCCTTTGCGTGCTTTTTTTTTTTAGAAATAGTTCACATCATTGCTATACTAACGCACGGATAGTTGTAATATTTCCCCTAGCTTTAAAAAGATGATCTATTAGTTAAGGAGAGAGTGCATGCCATGAATTTATATCATGCAACCATCTGTTTGCCCACCAAACACTGCAGTTACTGTATTTGTGTGTTTGTCTTGAATGACATACTGTTTCTTCCCCTGTGATTGATGAAGTTAGAAATTAGGGGAACAAAAAGGAGGCATTAAAAAGCCACACTACCATGTCTGTGTTTACTGTTCAGTGCAGATAGTGAATGAACATGTATTATACACAAGCCACGACTTAACTGTATGAATAAGGAGCTAGATGTATTTATCCAAGTAGGCATTCAGACCAGAAGTATATCACAGCAATCATGATCCACCCAAACAATTAGTTCCTGCAAAAACACTGAACTCACTCAGAGCACGTGTTGCAAAACCTTTTTATACTGTTTAGACAGCAGAAAGTGAAGCCATTAATTTTTTACAGCCAGGTAGTGTAGTTAGGGCATCAGGTGACCCCGAATCCTGCAAAACCTCCTGTGAAAAGCTGCAATAGGCCTAAGCAGCTGAGGCTTCCCATGATGTACTGAGCATTTCTTCTTCACTCACCACTTTTAAATCTCTTTGTTTATACACCACTCTGTATTTAATTGTTTTTTATTATTAATCCCTGGCATAAAACACCTTAAGGAGATTGTTGTGATTGGCTGCTATATAGACACAATTGAATTGAACCACCCTTAAAAATGGAATTTATCTTATCTTTGAGTTGTGCAGTTGGGTCTGTTTTCTGTGCTGTGACAACACAAAATACTTGGATATCCAGATACGAGTGCTCAGATTCACATGTGTGTGTGGGAGAGAGAGAATATGTGAGCGGTGCTTCTGTTACCTGTGTCTATATGGTGCAGGTTGTTACTGCTGAGGTTGAGAAGTTTGAGGTCTTTGGACAGCACAAAATGTTTTGGCTTGAGATGTTTTATTTTATTGTTGGACAGATCCATCCTCACTATGTCAGATGGCAGGTCAGGTGGGATGCTAATCAAATCTGCAGACAGAAAAAGTTCAGAAACATTAGGCCTTCAACTTTCATGATACCTGAAAGACAAAAGTTTTTACTATCATCAGTGCACACAAAAAAAAGATATGTGAACAGAGGGTGCGAACATTTCCGGCTCTTCAACTCAGACAGAAATGTGTCTGCATCTTTATGGCTTCAAGATGGTTTGCAGGTTGTGTGCAACTTTTTACATTTTCAAGATGTAGTCAAAGGGGACATCATGTATGACAACATTTCACTTATTTGCCAGAGGGATATCTTTTCTGCTTACACTGGAAGCATCACTCACACACACTCATACTTGTCTTTGAAGTCAGTAATGCACTAAACAGTCAAAGCGTCCTACGTATCGCAATCTCTATAACAGAGCCTCTCTGGAGTTTTGAATTAAAGTCCCACACCGGAGGTAGATTTTATAAATGTTCCTCCTGCCGTGATGGGGGAGGTGAAATAAAGATTTGACGCTGTCACTACAAAACCACTGAAAATAAAAGGCTGAAACCTGTATGTTCGGCACTAACAATGAATAGATGCAGGTTTCTCTGATCACAGTTTACCTTTTGGAGGTTTTGGATCAAAGCCTTCACAGATTAGACTTTGTGGTTTCCTGAGTCATTAGATTTGTTGAACCTGTCATGGTGGGCAACATCATGAATATCTTTTAAATTGGAAGTCCCATCTGCCGTGCCAATCACATTGTAGCGCTGTTTAAAACAGACTAGGTGGCCCATGCAACCTGTATCATC